GCATTCTCATTCTTCCTCATCTTCGAATCATCCCTCTTCCAAGTTACCTTCAGAATATGAAATACATTTTGAGAGTAGTACGAAGAAAACACATTTTCTACTGCTATCAACGAAAATTCTCATCGTCAAAATTCTCAAAATTTCCATAAACCAGAACCGGTTTATTTCAAAGAGCAGTTCGAGCCATCATACTAGATAATATTCTTTATGATTGTTGGGAATTTTTGAGACAAAGGTATACATACGTTAGTCCGAGATGGGGTGACCAGGATTATGATAGAGTTGTGAACTACGTTCACTTTCCGTAAAGAATATTTCCACCCTTTACAAAGCCCTGGGTTACAGGAACTTTCTTTAAAGGATAAAACTATTTGATGACACCCTATTTACACATCTTTTTACCGGCATTTCTTAACCGTTTAAGCTTGCATTATCGCTTTCCTGACCTATTTTATGCTAGATTGTGCTAGTTTTTCATGTTCCAAGACCTGATACGTGGTATATCTGTCAATTCAAACTGAGAGGGTCTGGAATTCTTTAGTCGAGATTCCAAACTTGTCAAAAACTTTCCGCGGTATATCTGTCAATTGAAACGAATTTGGGAATTATAACCTGAACTAACTGCAGACTAGGGAGACTCATATCTGGATGACCTTTTGCATACTTGAAACCAGAATATTTCCTGCTGGTGGCGTATTCGGTGCACTCACTTTTTTGGGTGCATTCAGTGCACTCGTTTCATAACCGTCATTTTAAATATGCAAATTATGTCAAAATAAGGTCAATCATCACATATGATGTGATGAACAATAACGCACATGAATTTGCACAAAAACCATTAAAAATTTACTTTAATGTGAAGGATTTATAGTATAGAGATTTAGGGTTAGGGTTTACAATTTGGGGTTTAAGGATAGAACTAAAAATTGGAGGTCTAGTGCTTAGGGTAATCGGCTAATTAGTTGTTATCATGTGTTATATCATCATATTACACTAGTTCTACAAATTAAAATTCAAAATCTGGCACCTTAAAACTAGTTTTTTGAGTTGGGTGCGTTGAACACACTCATTTTTGTGAGTGCACCGAAGTAGTCACCATTTCCTGCTTTATGTTTACTTTGATTTTGAACTCTTCACTTGAACTCTATCGCTAAATAATAGATTTGAACGGAGTATCAGTAGACCTATGACCCGGGTTGATAAATAGAACCTAAACCATTATAGTGCATTGCTAGACTCCGATTACACTTGGTCGTATTTTGGATGTGTTGGTTTTAGCGAGTCACTATCACCAGTTTAGGTTCTAGGCTTAAGAACACTAAAGCATACTTAGAAGATATTGGAAGAAAGAACAGAAGATTATGTCTGATACTATGTGACATCATCCACCCCACACATATATTTATAGGGACTGAATCCATGCATTTTTTCATGAAAAGTTTCCTTTATCCATGAAATGTTGCCTTTATTCATACGAAAGGTTGTCCTTATTCGTATGAAAGGTTGCCTTTATCCATAAGGTTGTCCTTATCCATATGAAAATGCAGCCGCCATTAGGCCAAAGGGATATATCCCTTCATGGAATTAGAATATTGGTTTGGTCGGTCTAATATCAAATCAGTTGGTCGGTCTGACCCAAAACTGGTTTGACTTGGCTAGTCTTATTCAACCAAATTTCCAACACTCTTTGGAGAGAATCTGATAGGAAAGCAAAAAACCTTACCTGATCTTAAATATCGCATAGATAGGAAGAAGCTGCTGAAGGATGGGGATGACGCTTAGATAAAGGGATACTCTTTGGTTATCTCTGATATTGGAGCAAGTTCTTCTAAGACTATGCATGAAGAAGATGTAACAGAAGAATCCAAAGAGGATGGAGACATACTTGACTATGAATCTCCTCCATAATACCCTTTCTATGAAAAGAAGAAATTAATTTAAAAGGATTCCACATATGTTTGCTTAGGGGTCTAGAATTTAGTCCAAATAACTGCCACTATAAATGCATTCTATCATTATCGTTTGTCCTTCCTTTTGTTCTATTAATGAATAAAGTGGATCCTTGCAGTAAAATAAGAATGTGTCTTTTTTTTTTTGGCAAAGATAAGAATGTGTCTTTTCACTTTAATAAAAAGGCAAGGGTTAATACCCTAGTATGGCCCGAAGTTTGGCGTAAGTGACAGTTCCGGCCCCATTTTTTAAATAAGACATTTATGACCTACTTTTGAAACTATTAGACAAATTTGGCCCAAAATTTTCTTTGACCGTTAATACTAACGGTCAAACACTATTCCGTTAATGACTCATAAAAAATCACTGATGTGGCATGCCACGTCAATAAATAATATTATTCTAATATTATAATTTAATTAAAATAAAAATTAAGAAAAATCCTTAATTATCCCAAATCCCCAAAGAGCCAAATCCAAACCCTAATTCCCTAAATCAACATCAACAGGAGACGCCTCCCTCCTCCTTCCTCTTCTTACCGATCCCTCTCTTTTCTATTTCCTTCCTCCCGCTGCTGGTAAGCCGGACGACCATCGCGGCGGCGTTTGCGGCGACAATCATGGCCTTCGCCATCTTCGTCGCCGCCACGGAGATAGCTCGCTCGGATCCTCCTCTTCCTCGTGGCAGCCCTCGTCTTCGTCGGCGTCATAGTCCTCCGTGACCGCAATCCGTCGGAGCATCACAGAGGCGGAAGAGGAACCATCGCGATCTCCCTGTACCCTGGACGAGGCCGCGGACAGAGGCACTGTCGTGATGGTCCTTTTCTCCTTGGGACGAGCAACGGCGGCCGCGACGCGTTGTTGATGTTGAAATGGTTGTGGAGAATGCAGTTAGAGGGAATAGAGGGATTCGATGAAGAGAAAGGAGGAGGGGCGCTGTTGAAGTTGATTTAGTTTAGGGATTTTTTTTGTACAGAAAGTTAGTTTAGGGGGATTATGGTTTGGATTTGGGGTTTTGGGATGATAAAAATTTTCTTAATTTTATAGTTTTTATTTTAATTAAGAGATAAAATTAAAAATATTATTTAATGACGTGGTATGCCACGTCAGTGGTTTTAGGTGAGTCATTAACGGAATAGTGTTTGACCGTTAGTATTAACGGTCAAACAAAATTTTGGGCCAAATTTGTCCAATAGTTTCAAAAGTAGGTCATAAATGTCTTATTTGAAAAATGGGGCCAGAACTGTCACTTACGCCAAACTTCGGGCCATACTAGAGTATTAACCCAAAAGGCAATAGGTTGTACCTATCGTTTGTTTAAGTGTGTGAAGGATATATAATGTTGCTCGGCAGCAGTCAAGAGCCATTGACAAGTTTAGGGTAACATGCTAAGGAAAGCCAGTCAATGACAAAACCAAGCAACATATGGAAATAGCAAATGGTTGAAAACTACTCAAAATGGAAAGAATTATAATTAAACAAATACTAGACTAATGGCCCGCGCGTTGCGGCGGGTATGTTGCAAAATATAAATGGAATGAGTAGCATGTGACTGTAAAAGTCTAAGAGCATTGTTTGGTGTAAATTTTATTAGTTACGAAATGTATATAGCAGTATCCTTTAAATTTGTTAATTTGTTTATGACGTTATGAAAGATTGTGAGGTTCCATTTTGGTTGATCTTCGTTCATCTTCTTGAATGGCCAACAAAGCTTGATTTGGAAGATGAAACACAGCTTCAAAGTTCGTTTCTCAAGTTTACCAGCAGACATAAGTGGTGAAGAACCTCGATTGGACCAAGAGTATAAATTCTCTCTCAATTTGGAAATACTACAAATGAAAACATAAACATATATATTCGTCAATTGAACATATATGAACTCAATAATAATCTAAACATATATAGCAATTGTGTATATTTCACATATTGACAAATTCCATCTTAAGGCTAGAACTAACTTAATCATTTAACTAAAACAAAAATTTAGTCTCTCCTCGTCTTTAATTTTCATCCTCAATTACAGAAGGTGTACAAAGAATAGAAATGGAAATTCTAAAGAGAAAAGAGGGAGACCAGTACGAATCAAGTAATCCAATCCATGCTTTTGGTTAGTCAATCATTCATTAAATAAAAGTTAAAACCATGAAATTGGTATTATAGTAAGATGAAAGAAAAGATGTAATGAAGAAGAAAGATAACATTTTATTTTAACTGATCCAAAAAAAAATTGATCATAAGGAAGTGACTCCATACTGGTAAGTGCCCAAGTGTAAACTTTTTGGTGCAACGTGTAATTCATGCACATAGTGAAGCACACTCTAATCTTTCTACAACCACCAGCTTTTCTTTCTGATCTGTCTTTCTTTTCTCTTTCTATCCATCTGGACTAATCAAATCTCAAACACCGCCATCATCAACACGTGATTGATCGGGGCAAAAGTGAAAGGAGATGAAATCATAGATGAAAAATTGGAAAAGCAGAGTCATAAACCACCCGAATGAAATGGCTGGGACTTGGGAGTAAGAAGTCTCCTTGTCCTTGGAGTAAGAAGTCGCTTAGGCTCTCTTGGTCGCTTTGATTTCGTAGAGAAGAAAATAAGTATGTACGACACGCATGGAACCTCTCTGTTGGCCTCTACTTCTCAATTTATCAATTGACTCTGCTTCTACGAATTCGGAAGGGAAAACGTCGATGCATGCTATTTGGTGAAGAAAAAGGGAGAAAAGGCTCTTGGCAGGCAGATCGATGGAGGAAATTAAACAGGTTTTATTGAGTGATCAGTGTCAAATGGTCTCTACTCCAAGGACAATGAGACAAAGATAAGCTCTTCTTTCTTTGCATGTATGATTTCAGAGCACCAAAGGAGATCTCCAATTCCATTGCAGAGTCGGATCTTTGTTTCTCAAAGCAATTGAATGGAAGAATTAATGTCAAATTATTAGGTCTGTTAACCGAAAATGGTATAGATGAGCTCTGCGTGTTAATATTTACTTTCTCCGTCCAAGTCTCTTCAACCTAAGTTTGGTTTTGGTTTTCTATTTTCAAAAAGCCTCTTCTCTTAACATTCATTAAAAAAAGCCCCTAACAACATCTCTCCTAATTTCGACAGAGCAAAAAGAAGTGCCAGAGAAAGGAGAAGAATGTACATTGGACCTGCCAACAGGAACCAATCCCCTGAAGCTAATCGGGCGGGTGGAGAAGACACAAAGTCTATAGTGGCGAAACGGAGCATAAAACTTGCTCAGCTGCCAGACAGACGTTGGAGGAAAAAGAGGTTGTAACTAATTATCGGAGGGAATGGCAACAGGGAAAAGGGTGCACTACTGGGAGGCGGCCGGAACTTGGCTTGCCGCCATGCTAATCGTCGCAGGGGAAATAGAAGGGGGAAGAATCTTTAAACGACGGATGGGGAAAACTGATGTACAAAGGGATGGGGAAGAATCTTAAACTCCGGCTAGCTCCATCTTGGCCAACCTCCAGGATTCGACGGAGGGGCATATGGAACCGCAATTGGAAGGAAGGGATGGAGCTTGCCCAATCGCCACGCAGAAGACGAAAGGGAAAGATAAAAGTAATTAGTGGGGGTGCACCAAACTTGCGGTAGACCCGCCAGTATTTGTCCAGACCCCTTAAGCAAAACTGGCGAATTAATATATCTAATAATGGGCACAGGTGGAAGAAGCAAGAATCAAAGCAATGACTCATCTAGAGGCTATAAGAAGAGACGTCTGAGGCTCATCTTTTGCTCTTTTTTTATATTGAAACTGGGACGTAAGGGATGAAGGAAAGAAGCACCGGTAAAGAAGAAAAGAATTTTGCAGGCTAATGGGCCGAGTCATGTCTATTATTTCATAAATTGCTTAACCCACAATTCAGATACCAATCCAAATCTAATAATCAAGAATGTCGTTCTCTACCCGTTACACAATTCTATTTCTATTCGATATCTTCACTTGTTCTTCACGTGGTGAATTAGGGTTTTCCATCCATCTTAAATTGATCAGAAGAAAAGAGCAAATTGCATTCTTTTCTCGAGCTCGACCCTCACCTTCATCGTTGTCGAGGTCATGGAATTGGATTGTGATTTTGAATCATTGAGATAAGACCAGTCTTGATGTCAAAGTGGTTTGCCACCATAGATGGATGTCGAATGCTCAACTTGATAAGACAAGTTATCAACTACAAACTCCTCCTCCTCCTCGTGTTCTTCTTACTTCTCTTCTTCGGGTTGAGCCTGAATCACAAGCTTGTCCTACTCCACTTTATTGCACGAGTTAATTAAGATGCTCTCCAAATTGCAGCTAACTCGGTGTTCCATGAATGCTCCAAACCTTTGCATGATGAATTCTTATTTTGTTAATGAATGAGTGCAGTCTGGCGACATTTCTCCTTGCAAGAATCACGCTACACAACAAGTAGCCAATGATTTCACTAAAGCATTAGGCACCAAACAATTTCAGACATTGATTTTCAAGCTAGGTTTTCATCATTTTCATGCAGCAGTTTGAGGGGGAGTATTGAATTACATGAAGGTATTTTGGTATTTTCCAGAGATAAACACGCACACCCTAATTAATACGAGTTTGTGTACATACATTAGCTAGCGAATTTGTTGCTACCGCAACCGTACAGATTCGAGATACAAAACATACTGAATTAACCGATAATCCATATATGATGCTTCGTGGAGTAGTCTCATACGTTCTACACGAAAAACAACGTAAGATTATCGCGACATGTGTATGTTTTAATCTTCCGCTTCATCGATTTCACATTGAAACAAAAAACACAAAAAGAAACAAGGAATCCATTTTGTATCATATTACAACCCCATCAAAAAACGAATGAATAATAATATTGCCTTACGGAGTGAGAAAGAAAGTAGAACATCAATAAAGCAACAAGGAAGGCCCGGGCCTTAGAATTTTCTTGTCCCTTTGTAAGACCTTTAAGCAGCACGCACGCACATGAGAAACCACAAAATCACCCATTTGCTCTTTGTAATTTAAGAGCCTATTGTAGTCATGGGCGATCCATCTGATACTTGGACTTGTAATCCTGCCACAACACATCCACAGACTTGCCAAGCAACTCCCTAAAATACCCTCGACTGTAGCCTTCCTTCAACTTTGCATTCAGCTGCGCCACGAAGCCGTCTTTAATGTTGTTGCAGTAATCGAGGAACATGGCCGTGACGCCGTACCCTTCGTCCCAATAATCCGTCCTCCCGGGGGATCCCCCGACCATCCGCGGGGCATAGTGGGCCTTGAGTCGCACGAACTCGGCCATCCCGGAACTCAGCCCACGTGGCGCTTCGCCTTCCCCGTCCCACATCCACGTGTACGCCAGCACATGGTATAGCACGCCCGTGAACTCCTTCTTCACGTTCCCCGTGTAGTTGCCGATGTAGTTGGCGCTGATGTGGAGGCTGTTCCCCAGCGCGTAGGCCGACACGCCGTCCGCCCCGTCCATCGGCTCGATGTAGAGGGTCACGTTGCTGTAGTCCCGCCGCTCGCTGGTGGTGGTGTTGGTACCGAAACCGAAGGACGTGGTTTGCTCGAGGAGGTCCCATATGAAGTTGGTGGCTGTGGACATGGCTTGGCAACTGTAGTCTGCCCCTATCCGCCGCTCAAACCTCTTGCCTCCTATAGTATCGGCGGCGTTGTTGACGACCGTGAAGTTCACCTCCGCCGAGATGGCCGATGCTGCGGCGGAGAGCATTAGAAGGAGGAGACAAGGGCGGGGGTTGGGCATTTTCTTTCTGTTTTGTTTTTGCTTGCGTCACGAGTAAGTGTGGTGGACAAGTGTCGGGCTGGTTATAAATAAAGGAGCATTAATGGGGAAGCCAAAAATTGGAATTCATTTATGGGTTAAAAGCTAAGTACAATGATTGGGATCGAGGTGTTTGTTTTCTGTCTCATTTCTTCGATCTCACAGCTGTGCAGGGCAGGGCAGTTGTACCTGTACGTGAATGAGCATCTCATCCACCAAAGAGATCGTTGGTCCAGTATGGGAATATTTTTGGGTAATGTTGAATTTGCCTTGTCTTTCGTTTGGGACCTTCACCTGTCTGTATTCTGTTATATGGCCTATTGTTGGTTTTTTTTTTTTTTTTGGATTTGTGTATAGATGTCCAAAGACTAAAGAGTACCGAGGTTTGAGTTCATAATGAGACTGACATATAATAAGATGCGGTGCCAAAACTAACTGCCTGATATTATAAAATTAAATAATAGCTATCCGAGTTATTTAAAGGATATATGATAACAAAAAAGTTATACGTATAATATGTTAACACCTCTTCCTATTAGCACAATACGAGCATTTTCATTAAAGCTATGATAGTAACTACACTCATAGGACCAACTCCTTTCACCCCTTCATCCCGTGTGTTTAGATTTCACATGCAAATTATAGTTTTGTATCTAAACTTAATATAGTTATCAAAATATTGACGAAAAATTATATTTTTATACAAAAAATTGTTAAAATTTACAAATATGTCCAATTCATTAGCTAAGTTTGTGGTATATATTAAAAAAATTTGTGGTCTGCTTTATGAGATTTCTGATATGCTTTAAGAAATATTTTTTTTAGAATGGTGATATTGGTTTACTTTTTGTTGTTTAGGTACTATTTAAGTGATTTGAACCTGTGAACTCCAGTTCAAGGCTACTAGTATTACCATTAGACCAAACCATTTTTTTGTTGCATTAATAAATTTGTGGTATGCTTTATGATGTTTATGATAGGGGTATTCAAACATAGTGGTTATCGTGGTAACCGTTTTAACCGGTAGTATTTGCATATTTTGGTTAATTTGGATAATTGGTTTGTTATGGTTAAATTTTTTTACCTTGTTTGGTTTAGGTCATTTGGTTTGGTTTCACACTCCTAGCCAATCAAACCAAATTAACCAATTAAGTAATTATATATATGGATGGTTCTATCGTACACTAGGCTAAACCTGGTGTATGTCGTACACCAGACAATCTCCACCGCCCACGTCCATCTCAACGGCCAGCATAAATGAGGTCATTTATTTTTTAATCCCACAAAAAAAAAAACTTGCATTAATGTTGGCCACTGAGATGGACGTAGACGGTGGAAATTCCTGGTATACGACATACCCCAATATATGTATGATGTTTGATAGAAGACGTTGAACACGAAATTTACGTGGTTTCCCCGGTATTAGACGTTGAGACTAGTACACCGAGAATAGGTTACACGCATACAATGCATATACATAATAAATGGTCGAGCTAACAACAGCAACCCTAGTTATTTTTTAAACGTAAGGGGATGGCTAATTACAAAAAAGATCCATGAACTTATAACTTCTAACAAAAGAAAGAAAAAAATAGTGTATGATCCTATGATACAAGAGCTTTTTTTGCAATCCAATGGGTAGTCCTATTATACCACCATAGCGTAAGTGAAACCTCACATGTTGTAATGATGAATAGGGCTGAAAATTGGCCCGACCCGCCCCTGACCCTGTCTGACCCGCCTCTGAAGGGTCAAGATGTATAACTGACCCGCCCCGACCCTGTTTCTTTCATGACCCTGTCTGACCCTTTAGGGTCGGGGCGGGTCAAGAAGGGTCGGGTCAGTGGGTCGACCCTAACAAATAGACTACTTTTCTAAAAATTATAATTTGGTACCCGAATTTATTTTTTCTTACATTTTAGTACCTAAATTTTATTTTTTTACAATTAAGTCCCTAAAATTTGATGGTAAAATTAAGTTTTGGTACCCAAATTTTTTTATTTTTACAATTTAGTACCTAAACTTATAAAATTTTACAAATAAGTCCAACATGTTTGTATGATGCTAAGGGTCATAGGGTCAAAAAGTGACCCGACCCTAAATTGACCCGACCCTAAATTGACCCTAGAGACAAACTGACCCGACCCTGAGGGTCGGGGCGGGTCGGGTCAATGAGTTTTAAGGGTCAAACTTACACCCCTAATGATGATCGTATCATCTAGATTTCTTGCATGATAAGCTCCTCTCATCACGTACGACGAAACCATCATGTTGACCATCCGATTTAGAATAGTCGCACAACGGTGAATTGGAATAGACGTAGATCGGACAATAGCTTCCAACTTCTCAATTCATTAATCCTCCTCAGTTGTTCGACTAGCTATTTCATTATTAAAAATCATAATAATAATAAATTAAAATTTGATAAAATTAGGAAAGGAAATTAAATAATTATAGAAAATCAAATCCCATTTTACGTGGAGCCTGGAGGACTATGGAGAAGAGGTAAGCAAGGGGAGCTAATCAAAATAAGAAGAAACGTTACTTGACTACTTAGTACGCATGAAGCTCAAGTGATAAATTAATGCAAGGGGAATGTATGCGTCCCTTTGTGACTAGGGATAGTATGATAGAAACTGCCTATATTTTTTTTTTTACAAAAATAATCAAATTGATTCAACAAAGAGAGTTACATCTTGGAAATTAGCCAGGCCTGAAAATCGAAAAACTGACTCGTAGCCGGGTACAAAGACAGGGCTTTTCTAGCCATCTAGTAGGCTACCCTATTGTTACGCCGACCTACAAATCGCAAACTAAACCCAGCATGGGCAGCTAAATAATGAACTACTTCTTGCAGAATTGCCCCATCTGGTTGTTCCTCGTATATGCCCGGTTGATCTTCTCAATAATAACCTTGGCATCACCTTCGAATCTCATTTCCTTGAAACCCAGGCTCTGGCACCATAAAATATCCTCCCGCAGCACTAGGAGCTCGACCACTAAAGGCTCATCAATTAGCGGAAATTGGAGCCCTTTGGCCAGAACAAGGCCTCCATTAGCATCCATGATAACTATCCCTCCCGCCGAGTGAGATCCACTCCTGGTCGCCCCATCCCACCTACAGATAGTTGTAGAAGAATTGCTGGTTGACTGGTTAATGGCCAAGGGGGGCACGGGTTGCAGGATAGGATCGACCGGTAAGCTTACCCATTCCTCATATTGCTGGTTAAATTGACGCATCAAGGCAGGGATCCCAAACTGTTTGCCCTCAAAGACAATCCAGTTCCGAGACCGCCAAATCTTCCATAGGATGGCAACAACCTTCATGAAGAGCAAGGGCTGATGCAATAAAGACATTAACTTCTTGAGGAAGAGAGGGAAAGTATGGCGTGACAACCCTTGGCCAATATAATCCATGCCTGAGGACTCCCACAGAACCCGCGCAAATGGACAATCGAGGAACAAGTGCTCCATGGTCTCAGATTCCGCCCAGCAGACTGGGCATCTAGGTAGCACATTAACATCTTTCTCCCGAAGAGTCTCCGTCGTTGGTAGGATTCTATTAAAGATTTGCCAGCAGAAAACTTTCAATTTAGGCGGGATATTTGCCTCCCATAACCGAATTCAACTGGACTTATCCATTCAACTTGCTAGTTAAATAGGAGAATGGAGACCGGACTTGAAGTTGGACTAGATCATTTAGGATAATTACTACATTCTTTTTGTAACACCTAGGTGTGAAATTTTACTGGTACGTACTCAAAAGGTTGAATTTTGGCGATTAGTAATGCGAACCGGATAATTCTTCAAATCAAAATACAATTGAAAATAATTGAGGTAGTAAGTACATATGTAGTACGTACGTACTTGATCGAGTAAGGGGAAAAAAAAAACAAGTCCAGCAGCTTACATTGCCAAGGGGCCAAAATGGGATACTCAACGTCAACGATAAATAAATGAGCTAGGTAGCGTAGCGTGTAATGATGATCAGGCATGATGTCGTGCCGAATCCGGGCCGTGGTTGTCCTTGTAGTTACTCCACAACTGCTCAATAGTCTTCCCGAGCAGGTCCAGGAAGTAGCCGTCGGTGTAGCCGTACCTCATCTTCCTATTAAGCTCCCCTACAAATCCCTTGTTGAGCTGATTGCAATAAATCAGAAACCTGGCCGTTACGCCGTTCCCCTGATCCCACCTGTGGCCTTCTCCGGGCCTCACCTTCTCCACCGTCCCGTAACGGGCCTGGAGTCGGACGAAATGGGCGATCCCGCTCACCAGCCCTTCCGGTGCCTGCCCATTGCCTGTCCACTGCCAGATCCCGGCCACTTCCTGGTACATCATGCCGTTGAACTGCCTCCGAAGGTTGCCCGTGTAGTTGGCGATGTAGTTGGCGTCCACGTGGATTGAGGTGCCGTTGGTAAGTGCGGCCGTGCCGTTGTTGATGAACAGGTCGATCCGGCTTACGTTCTTCCGTTCGGTTAGGTCGTCGGTTTGGTTAAACACGATCCAGGTGAACCGGGTGGCCGCGTACATTGCCAGCTTGGCCACGTGAGCTCCGATCTGCTTCTCGAATCGTGCCCCACCTGCTGTGTTGTTGGCCATGTCGGTGACCGTGTACATCACGGGGCTCCCGGTCTGGAAGCCCTCATTGGCCCCGGCCAGGACTGCCAGCTGGATTAGGATCATAGCCGCCACCTGGGACGTCATATCTTGCTGTGTTTCTGTTGAAGGATATATGTGATGAATGGATGATTTAGGAGAGGAATGCCAGCGTTATATATATATATACAAATAATTACAGCTTAATTACGATGGTTTGTTAATTAATTAGTGCGGATTGCTGAATTCTGTTCCCTCTATGTGCTTGATGTTCTATACTTTGTAATCGCTAATAATGTGCCTTCGTTTGTCTACTGATGATGAGATTGGAGTGTTGTCAAAATTGCTAAGACAACTGGGTCGAAATAGTAGACCACCTAAATGAGAAATTTTACAATGCTATATAGTATTGGTGCTATAGGGATATGCATTTATGGTGCAACTTAAAATTGTACATTTACGTTATGGTACAACTTCAGATTGTACCTATATTTTTTGTACAAATTCTTTTATGGTACAACTTGAACTTGTACCTTTATGTGATGGTACAACTTCAAGTTGTAAAGTTGTACCATAACATAATGATACAAATTGCTTTTTGGTACAACTTCAGATTGTACCTATATTTTTTGTACAAATTCTTTTATGGTACAACTTGAACTTGTACCTTTATGTGATGATACAACTTCAAGTTGTAAAGTTGTACCATAACATAATGATACAAATTGCTTTATGGTACAACTTCAGATTGTACCTATATTTTTTGTACAAATTCTTTTATGGTACAACTTGAACTTGTACCTTTATGTGATGGTACAACTTCAAGTTGTAAAGTTGTACCATAACATAATGATACAAATTGCTTTATGGTACAACCTAAACTTATACATTTAATGTTATGGTACAACTTTAAGTTGTACATTAAAGCACCAATACTATATAGCATAGTAGAAGTGCTCCCACCTAAATACCGACAGTACGTGCCCATTTGTCTATGCCTAGGATTAGGAATAATTAAAAGAAATAACCTGCAATATCTATGTCCTACTCGTAGTTTTGATCCCTTCATTTGTCTTCATTAAGTCCAAGGAATGATTAACAAATAATCAAATCAAATAATATATTGCTAATTAGTGTCATGATACAAGGTGGAATGCCGTGGCCGGCAGGATTTGAAACTATATGTTGTCTATTTTCAGAACATAAATTGTTAAAACTGCGCTGCTACGAGTCGGAAAATCACCGAAACCGACAAGTAAGAAAACGAAAAACAAAAGCACATGACACTAGATTTACGTGGTTCACTAACACAATGTGTGTTAGCTAGTCCATGGACAGGAGAGCCAGTTTCACTATATCGAGGAGGTTATAGATTATAGAGGAGATGAGAAGTATTTATACTTCTCCATGTGGGTCTAAATCTAATCCAATCTGGTAAAGAAAATAGTTACAGACTAGGCCCAAAACTAACAACCCAAACGTGTATCGGCCCATATAGATTCAGCGAGACCCTCGTGACTTCCAGTCGTAGCGGCTGATAGCCCCATTCAAGTAACATCAACATATCTCCACCTTGACTTGAATCCTCTTACTCTGCAATCTCTAATGTACTATGCTCCTTGTCTCTCTCTCGCGGAGTCACCCACTGAAGACATTCGGCAAGTCCAAGTAGTGTTGGAACTTTCCATGTGGAACCGGCTTCGTGAACATGTCGGCAGGAATATCCGCGGTACCAACCTGTCCCTTCAACCATATTCCCTCCTTAGCAGCTTCTGTAAACGCCATATACTCTGCCTCAGTAGTAGACAATGTCGCTAATGACTGCAGGGTTGCCTTCCAACTCACTACAGAAGTCCTAAGAGTGAATACATTACCGGTCATCAATTTCCTCGTGTCAACATCTCCAGCATAGTCAGAGTCTGAATACACAGACATCACGCACTCTGTATCCTCTTCATAGCCTGCCAATGCTCCTTCCCAGGTTGTATTATGAACTTGCTGACAAAACTAACAACATGTGCAAGATCAGGTCTAGTGCATATTTACATGGGCGCTGCGCCGTGCTTGTGGCGGCACGACAAGGGCACGTTTCGCGCTCATTTATTTCGTGTCGAGCTTGGCACGGCCCGTCAGTTTTCGTGTCGTGCCATGTTAGCCCATTTGTTAATTTTGCTTGGCCCGGCCCAGGTCCGAGCACGGTTTGAATCGTGTCGTGCTTATTCGTGCTCGTGCCATGCTTATATTCATGTTTAATGAAAAGGAAGAAAATAAAAGTGGGGATGAATAAGAAGGAACAAATTGTGCGGAGAATGAAATTATTAACTGAGAATATTTAATAAATGTAACAAATAAGGGGAAAAAGAAAATTGAAATTATAGCGGGCGTGATTTGACTTTGTTTAATACTTCGTCTATTTCTACTTATGGTAATAATTATGTATATATCTTTATGATCACTTCTAACAACAATAAATAATTTTATTGTACTTGTATTTTTTAAGATTTGAATCTATAATCCTTTTTATATGTATTTTCTATCAAATAAATATTCTTTTCATGTCATGTTCTTTCTTATATTCAATAGGGTCTCAAAAATATTTGACCCGACACAACCCACTTACATACCGTGTCGTGCCCGTGCCCATAAAGTTTAGGCCCGACACGACCCATAAATTATTTGTGCTTGTGCCTGGCCAGCCCATATATTCCAAACCCGTGCTTGTGCCGTGCTCTAAACGTGTCGTTTCGTGCTAGCGTGTGGGCGGCCTGGGCATATGCCCACGTACAAGTGCATACCATAGGGTACATCAAGCTACCTACTGCACTAGCATATGAGACTATCGACATGTACTCCTTCTCAGCCTCTGGCTGCGCTGCATAAGTTTAGGATAGATGAACATTTGAAGCACTAGGAGTATTCAAGGGATTTACTGAAGACATGCCAAACCTCAACAATATCTTCTGGATGTAGCTCTTCTGTGACAAGAAAAGCTTCTTCGATCCATAACCAAAATCTTCCAAGCAGCTCCCAAATCTTTCATTTCAAATTCAGCACTAATGAGCATATCATTCACATATAGAACAAGATAGATCATCGTGTAATATCGCGAATTTTGGGTTATGGTTTGACCATAATACGTGATCGGTTGGATTGACAGTTGCGTACTAAGGTTGCAATCGCGGATTAGTAGTAGTAATAATAATAATAATAATAATTACTATTATTATTTTATTATTTAAAAAAAACATAGAACTGTCTGGGGGCCGAGCGGCCGCCCCATCAAACCCCAAACTTCCCCGACCCCTCCATTTATTTCCCCAAGCAATTATTCCCCCCAAGCAGCGAGAAAATCGCCGCCGCACCAATCCCCAATTTTCACCCCGACCCTCCTCTCTCTCACTCGATCTGGTTCCCCAGAGAACAAGCAACGGAAGGAATCAATTGGAACAGTTGTTCTTCCCTTTCCTATTCCCTGGGTTTTTGTTACTTCCCCACCGAGAGGAAGGTCTTGGAATCAGATCCCACCCCGGCTCTTCCAATCGACTAATTAAAGAGAGCGGAGGAAGATTCCCTCGCTGCCGTGGCTTTTCGATTCGCCACCCGCCTCCTTGCCACTGCATTCGGAGGAGGAGACCACCCGCGTTTGCTCTACGATTCACCGGCGCACCTTCAAAGATTCACCTTGCGAAGAGGCAAAAGAAGAATGAAGTTGAGATTTTGTAGCATACAAATGTTCATAATTCTAGTCAATCGATCGGAATATTGAGGTGAGTGTAAAAGGGGTAAATTCTACGCCTTACATATTCTTTTAAGTATTACAATTTTAAGTATTTTAGCAAATTGGTTATCGTTGCTTGGTTATGTGTATTATTGATTATTTGTGCTTTACTTGAGTTATGGTTTAAGATGATTTTGTGCTATTTGAGGTGATTTTGTTTGAGCTATGCTGGAAGTGAATGTTTATTAAATTACTTTGAAATTTTTACGAGTATAAGTTATTATTAAAGATTAAGAAACAAGTTCTTTTAAAGAAGTAACTCACATTCAAGAAGATGAAGTTGTTTTAAGTGTTTTTAGTCACTAGCGCCAGTCCGTTTCCTTTTGAGACATTTTGAGATAGAGAAGTAGTTATGCTCTTGAGATCTTTCAGACAGAGCAGCAGTTATGCTCTTGAGACTTTTAAGATGAGCAGCAGTTATGCTCTTGAGAATCGTGGTGAAGAGCCACCACGATAAGTTTAAGATATTAGGTGGATGAATCGTTACGACTCCCCTAACTAAGTTTGAGTTTAAGGAAAGCCTGGATGGCTTCTCATACGTATGAGTTGGCAACCAGACTAGCTAGTGGGGGATCCCAATGTCAGTCAAGTATTTAAGTTGATATTTAAGCTTTAAGAATGGAGAGTAACTGTTACTCCCATACAGTTTTAAGAGTTAAGATTTTTAAGAAGGGAAGTACAAATAACTTCCCTCAGTTTGAGTTTAAGTGTTGGAGAATAAGTGCAAAATTATTAGAAAGTTTAAAACGTAAGGGCGTAGACTGACCCCAACTCACTCACCAGGCCTTAGTAAGGGAATGAGCGAGAACCAGATCGGTAGCAGCTAGCTAGAGGAGTAGTTAGAGAGCAGCGAGTTCGAGAGGAAAAGTTCGAGAGCAACCAGCTAGAGGAGGGCAGTGCAAGCGTCATGGAGGATGCCTAGTTAAGATTTTCAGTAGCAACAACTTTAGAGATTATTAGTTATTTATAGTTTATGATTATGAGTATAGACTGGAGATCAGATTGAGATTTTTAAAGTTTGAGTTTAATTCGCCCACGTGTTGGGGCTTTGCTTTGAATTACAAGTGTGTTTTCAGTATTTTATTTATGAAATTTTTTCCTGCTGCAATTTAAGGTTTGAGTATTTTATTTGTCAAGGGTATTTTTGTAAAAGTAGTACCCGGCCGGGTTAGGGTGTTACACATCGAACCACTGCTCAAGCATGTAACTGTCAAATCTCTTGTACCACTGCCTTGGAGATTGCTTAAGTCAATACAAGGACTTTTTCAACTTACAAACATAGTCTTCTTTTCCTTGAACCTAGAATCTTTCTGGATGAGTCATGTAAATTTCTTCCTCCGACTCTCCATGTAGGAAAGCTGTCTTCACGTCTAGCTGCTCGAGCTCCAAGTAATAATGTGCCACTATTGCTAGTAGCACCCTGATCGAAGTATGTCTAACCACTGGTGCGAAAATCACATTGTAGTCAAATCCTTCCCTCTGCGAGAAGGCTTGTTCAACCACTCGAGCTTTAAATTTAATGCCCTCTCCAGAAGTGATTCCTTCCTTCTTCTTGTAGATCCACTTGTTTGTAACAATCTTCCTTCCCCGTGGTCGTTTGACTAGCTTCCAAGTCTGATCTTGTCACGTGATTCCATCTCATCTCCCATTGCGGCAAGCCACTAGTCAGCTTCGCCACACGAAATGGCTTCTCTATAGGACTGTAGTTCACCTACATCCACTTCTTTAGCAACCTGAAATGAATATGCCACCATATCCTCAAAGCCATACCTCTCTGGAGGTATTCATGCATTCGCTCTCTTCAGCCTACAAGAAACCATAGACTATTGAGCTCGTGCAATGGACTTTGAAGTTTCTGGCTCTGCAGAAACATCCTCATGTTGATCTTCTCCACCTTGGTGCTCAAACTCACTCTCTTTGAGAGTTTGCAGCTCTACCTGCTTATCAACATTCCTGCTACCTTCAACAACAATAATCTTCAACATGGGGTTAAACATAGGCATCTCATCAAATATCACATTTTTAATAAGTATAATTCGATGTTTAGAAGTGACCAGATTTGAAATCCCTTAACTCCATCTGCGTAACCCACAAATACACCCTTCTTTGCCCTTGGGTTCAGTTGACCCTCATCCACATGATAATAAACAAGACATCCAAAAACTTTCAGTGAAGTGTAATTAGCAAGCTTACTATACCACACTTGATAAGGAGTCTTACACTCGATACGTGTGTGAGGTCCACGGTTGATCAGGAAGCGTGCCATGTTTACTGCTTCTGCCCATAATCTTCTCTATAGTCCAGCATTAGAGTGCATGCACCGTACTCTCTCCAACAATGTCTGGTTCATCCTTTCTGCAATGCCATTCTTCTGGGGTGTATCTTTAATGGTCCGATGACAGGCAATCCCTTCATCCTTACAGAATTCGTTGAACTCAGAATTGCAGAACTCCATACCACTATACGCTCGCAGCTTCTTGATCTTCTTCCCGGTCTGATTCTCCACCAATGTCTTCTACTGCTTGAACTTCGTGAAAGCCTCACTTTTATGCTTCATCATGAAATCCAAGTAAATCTCGAATAATCATCAATAATGGACAGAAAATACCTACAACGTCCAATGGATTTTGTAACATTCCGTTTCAGCTAAAATCGTATTACTGTCGCTAGAAAAATTACGCTATTAAAATCGAGAGTTTTGATAGAATTTCGACGAAATCGGATTATTGATCGATCGGATAAATATACGTATTAATTATATATAATATATTATATATAATTATATATATATAATACATTATATATAATTATATCAAGTCGGTCACAGACCACTTAAATATATAATTCTCTCCCTGTCCAATTCTTCCCATCCCATTTCTGTTCTTTCTTTTCCTTTTCTGGGACCGAGAGAACCAGAGCAGCAATGGCCGCACAGGGGAGCTCGACAGAGAATTAGCAGAGCTAATTTCTTGAGATTTAGTGATCCAAAAATCCCGTAAGTAATGCCCAATCCATCTATACATAGTAGTTTATCGATTTAGAGTTTTAAAACAAGTTTTTGGATCAGGACTTTCTTGAGTTACCGATCGAAGGAATTAGGGTTTCAGAGGTTTCAGAAGCCGGATTAAGCCTAGATTTCATATATGAGCTTCCTGCAACGAGTAATTAATCCTCTGGAGCTAATCCATGAATTTTGACACTTATTTAGGCCGGGGTCCAAATCACTGATTTTAGCTCCGGCTAGGGTTTGATGTGTTTTTATCGAGAATTTGACCCAGAGCCTAGAACTAACATTGATGGGAACACTTGAGGGGATATTAGGAAAATCTTGGATTTTGATTCCGGGTTTGTTTGAGAAAATTGAAGTTGTAGTACGGGAGGCTAAAACCGGTGTTTGAACGACTAGATCTGGTGAGGGATTAGCACGGCATACCGGGTTTGTCGTATCACAATAATTATACTTATGCTTAGAAGTGATCCAGGTGAACTAGAATGGCATGATTAGGGGTGTATGGACTTTTCTGCTATATGATGAACCATGGATTGTTGTATGATACTATTGACTTGCCCTAATCGACATGGACCTTGTTTATGTTGATGATTGCATATATGTTGCAAGATGTGGGTTTAATTGTGGATATGCTTTATGATAGTTGGAGAAGGTGATTGGGTATGATTTTTCATGATTATTGTGTTTGGATGCACAAGTGGGAAAATATATATCTCATGGTGATATTATGATGTTTAAGGAGGATGACTTGCACGAGGGTTTATCCCGAGGAAGTGCAATTATACGAGCCAATTATGGTCAGGTCAAATACATGTGCACGTAACGAATTATGATTAAGCAAGATGAGATATGGATCATGTATAAGGATACCAAATAAGAGTGATTTGGTCTCATGGTCAATACATAGTAATTAGGGCTTCTCATGCTATTACTCCGTTATGATATGCTATGTCACACCCCTGATGTGGTGTTGACTGTTGATTTATCATGAGATATGACCACACCTAGAGTGGTGTTGAGTCCGATATGACCACACCCAGAGTGGTGTCAGGCCCGATATGACTACACCGGCAATGGTGGGTCTGATATGACCACATCCACGAGATGTTTGGTCTGTATTCCCGAGAGAGTAATTAGCATGGGAGTAGCATGGCGCCTATGATTAAAACATGATAAGATGCATATGCATAAGTCAAGGAGGTTGAGTCTTTTGCCTATTGGGATGTCGGATGACTGAGGTCCGATCCTAATGCTTTGGCTTGTTTGCTAGATGTATGGTAGGGGTATGCTCTGTTATGAACTCACGATGCTATGATTATCTCACTCAGTTATGAGCCGACCCTCTTTTATTCCTTTCCTCTACTTATGCTATGTGTAATCAGATCATCCGCAGTAGCAGTAGCAACTACATAGGTGTGAGCAGAACGAGGAGTTGAAGGCAGAATGAGGTATTGTCTTCAACCATTCTATGCTTGGACGACTACTTGGGATTTTGGCCAGTGATCCGCACCTCTTTTGTAAAAATGGTTTGAGAATGTTTTTCATGTGCATACTTGCTTCTGATGTAGTGTGAGGTATCCATAGGTGTGGAAGGTTGTTGATATGTGTATAGTTGTGTAATTGTGTAAGTTGTGATGATTATGGCATGTATAAGTATAGTATGCAGTTGTGGAGTATGAAAACTGTGACTATAGCTATGAAAGCCAATGTATATGGTTGTGGATATATATTTATATTTACGAATGCAGATATTCGGATAAATTATTGTACATGTCTAGTTGCAAGAATTGTTAGCCCAGTACGCGAGTAATTCATGTCAAAATTTTATTTGGGTAAATTTTGGTAATTGTTGTAACACCCTAGATTATTTCTACTGCAAATGTATGAACAATATGATCAGGCAAAACATACAAGGTAGGGTGTTACAGATTCAACTCGTGAAAGACCCCAACAGTCAGAGTGGAGGTAATCCAGTATCCCATTCGTTCGGTGGATACCCATCTTGGGAAACTTGCGGCGATGTAGCTTCCCAAACACCGAATGCTCACAGAATTCCAAATTCTACACCTTGTGCCCGCAATGAGGATCCCTCTTTGAAAAAACTTGAATCCCCTAGTCTCATGTGCCAGAGAGTAGTCATATCTTCCTGATGAATTTGAGATGATGCAACTGTAGCAGAATCTGACAACACATTTCCTTGTAATGCATACAAGGTACCACGTTTCATGCCTTTCAGTACCTTCCTCAAACTGTTGCAGACATACACAACTCCACCTTTTCCTTTGAAACTGAAACCCTTGTTGTCGAGTAGACTCAAGGATATCATGTTCTTTGTCATTCGTGGAACATGCCTGACATCAATCACGGTATAGAACAAACCATTATGTATTCGAACCTTTTGGACCCGATTCGAACAACCTTATAGACAGCTCCATTGTCATTATCCGAACCTTTATTGACCCGATTCGAACAAACCATCTATCTGCTCGTAGATTGTGAAACAATCACTGTTCGGAGACATATGGTATGAGGCTGCAGTATCCAGAAACCACACATCACCATGATGTGCCTTCTCATGTACAGCCAAGGAGATATCATCTTCAGAACTGTTGTCCACTTCTGCCACGGCAACTGAACCTTGCTTCTTCTGTTGCCCTCTTCTCTTGGTATAGTTGTACTTTTAATGCCACACTTCCTTATAGATGTGACAGGCATCGCTTGGCTGTGGTCTGGCACCCTTAGATTTCCCTTTACCAGATATCTTCTTTCCCTTTCCAACTGTGACAGCCAACCCTGATGCTTCTCCACCTGTACCAGATCTGAACGCCTTATGTCTGATCTCTCTCGAAGCCCTAGCCTGATTTCCAGCCTCGACTCTGATACCACTTGTTAAAACTGCGCTGCCACGGATCGGGAAATCTTCGGAATCGACAAAGTAAGAAAATGAAAAACGAAAGCACACGACACATGATTTACGTGGTTCACTAACACAATGTGTGTTAGCTAGTTCACGTCAGGAGAGTCAGTTTAACTATATCGAGGAGATTACAGATTACAGAGGAGATGAGAAGTATTTATACTTCTCCATGTGGGTCTAAAACTAATCCAATATGGTAAAGGAAACAGTTATAGACTAGGCCCAAAACTGACAACCCAAATGTGTATCGACCCATACATCATAGATCGGGGGAAGCATACAAACTAGTAGAATAAAAACTAGTTTTATAAACAAATAAAAATGAAGGATATGACTGATGCACTTTTGTCTCCATCATTACTGAAGATAATTCATCAATTCCTTTCAACCCAACAAATCTCTCATCAACCATAGCATCATGATAATACCCAAAAAGCTATAGTAGAATACTAGTGTCATGAATGGAACCAAATTTAGCTGTATAAAATCTCGTAAGACACATAAGCTTCTCTTGGTCAAAAGCAGCAAATGCATTATCTGGATAAAAACAATGCATACAAATCAACAATCTAGTACCTCATCAAAGCGAGTATTCAACTATTGCAGCTTTATATCCGCAACCGTTTAAAAGAATTCAAGTTGAAAGTGATGTAAGTTTGTGATATATGAATCTTTGCATCTTGACCTTACTAGAAAGAACATACAAAACATGCATATATAGTAGAAATGGAAATATAGTCTTTAGTGCATCTCGAAATTACACGTCATCAACCAAAGAATCCCATCCATTATCTTTCATATCCTCTAACCTTATCTTTGCCGCACTAACAAGTTTCATGGCAGTTACAATGTCCTAATCTTTTCTCTTAGCTTAACTGAAGCCACCAATAGTTGAGTTTGATATATAGTCTGTTTTGAATTTTGATCTTATTGTTTAGAATTTTAGTTAAGGAGTTTCAATGGCTCATGATTGTTGCACTAAAAGGTTAGCTTTGCTTTTAGCGCTGTTATGGTAGTTATAATGTCCACCCACATTATCAACAAAAACTTTTCTTCCGATTCCACCCTTTAAAACCTTCAGCAGCATAACCGTCCTCTACTCTACTTTTTTTACCAAACAAATTTATTTTGTGTCAATCTATGAACTAGAAATGAGTTGCAGTGTAGTGCGTGAACAATATTTGTTTTCCCGACGAGAAAATCTAGATGAACAGAATTGGATTTTGCACCTTTGACTTCCAAACAAACGATTAACAAACACGGTGCACACCTCTTTGAACAAAGTTCAAACAAGGATGTTCGATGTTCTTGATGATCTGCGAGGCAAACTAAATTACATTAACTCTACTCCTATGGAGGTTCAGTGAGAGCTCCAGAACTACCACTATGGCTAAATTTGCAGAGGAAAAGATAAAAGGATAAAAGTTGACATTGTATTGTCTAGTGTGATTTTGGAGAACCCTTTTCTCCGTCATCTTCACCTCCTATTTATAGCCACCAGAAGTAACTGCTTCGAGAAACTGCTCCTCTGACGTGGAGTGACGGTTACTCTCTCAACTGCTCTGACGGTTACCCTGACGTTGGATGTAGACCCTCTTCAATCTTCGCCCCTCCTTATGAGACCTCACTCCATGCTCTTGGTATCTCCTCCGTAGCTTTGATTTTCTATAGAGAAAAAATGGCTAAGGCATGAAACCAGACCACGTGCTACATATGGGTGGGTACTCGAATCACCTGAGTCAAAATGGCAAAAATACTTCACCATTACGAGAGTAAAGGGACCACGTGCTTATATGACCCTCTTGCCTTGGCCACCCCCCTCGGTACGTCCTTGGGGTGGCGATATGGTGGCCATCCCCCTCACCACGTCATGGGGGTGGCAGTTTGATGCCGCCCGACACATCATGGTGGTAACGGTATGGTGGCCACACCCCTCGGCCAGTCATGGGAGTGGCTCCAATACTTAGCCAAATTTTGGAATAGATGGCTAGAGTTGGTGTATAATGTCATATGATTATGGGCTAAAAACCCAAATCACTTGGCCCATCTTAATTGATTCAATTGTTATAATTAAGTTGGCATTTTAAAGCCATTTAATTTCTTATTTTTAACCGATGTGGCACAACCTTAATTTTAGTGGTAAACAAATGCCCCCAACTATTTAGTGCATAAGAATTATGGACTAAGTACTTAACACCAAATAGAACACTAAAACACACACGGTTGGCCTTACACCTCGTTTACATCACACTCAGGCGGGACTTTGGCTTTATCAAAAGCCAATAAAAGTATGATTATCTCTTTTATTTAAACTTCCTTCATTTTACTTTAATTGGCTCTCACGTACTAGCCAAAAAAATATACCCCAACCTCTACCTCTTTTGTCTTACTATAACGAGGAAACCAAAAACCTTCTTCCACAACATAGGAATCACGTTTGTTCCTTCCACAACCGCTCGGCTGCGAGTTCAATTACTTCTCTCTTTTCTTTTATCAAGCCTCATTTGACCACGTACCAGACTTGATTATACCATGAACACTTAATTCCCAAACTCATTTGGTCTTCTCGCATTGAACCAGCCATCATGCCCTTCACCGGCCTCATTGAATCACAAGATGGCGAGGAGGACTTAGGTTTATTTTTTCCTGTTAATCATTCGTCTCGTTGCCTGAGGAAAGGGGAATTCTTCACCTTTGTACATTAGGCTAACTTCGCAATCAACTGATTTATTGATTATTATGATGTCCATCAATTTGGCCACCATGTTATATCATCTCCTAACCATGTTTGTTGGTTAGGATCCTTTTTCCCCCATAAGTGTGATGAGTTTGGTTAGGATCTTTAGTCTCCTCCTTCTTTTGAGAGACTTCATCACCCAATTTTTTTTTTACATAGATGATTTTTAAAATCTCCTATCCCAACCATCTTGCCCCCCATAGTCTTTCTTCCATCTAGTTACAAACTGTGCCCCCATGCCAGTGTGACAACCAACACCCATAGTCATTCTTAAATCACTTGGCATGGTATTTTTTTGAAGCTATTGAGGCCAAAATAACATCATGCCCCCTGGTTAAACTCAACTACTATCAATCATACCTCATGCCAATCATCATCACCCATTATCTCGTCGAGGTGGTATTGGTTCATACCTTAGCAAAATTATAAGGTTTGGCATGATTAAGCTACCTCAATGGCCTAGCGGTATCAAGACTACGCCATCCCACGTCCCAAAGAGATGAGATGCAAGGTTTATAAGTGGCATGGTGCACTCAACACATCAAATAGTGTAAAAACTCCATGGACCCAACCATTCACACTTATAACCCAATATGATGTATTAAAGTCAACGTCAACATAGATTAGGGATTGAGGCATACCAGTCATGGCAAGATCCTCACATCGAAACCTATCAACTTTTACTCAAACTTGCCAATTCGACATTTTTTATATATAGCCATGATTGGCTTTTCTATATTAATGTATATTTTTTTACTTTTTTTTTTACTTATTACATATAATAAGTAGTTACAAGCATCATTGATCTTCATACCCTTCGTCAATAATCAACGTGCCAAAGGTATACACCCACTGCCAAGTCAATGGATTAAACCAAACAAGCCAACCATACATCATATGGCCATGGTTGTTCAAAGGAGATGATTCTTCACAAGTTGACTTTACATCATCTCATTCATCATCTTTCTTACCCCTGTCACACTTGGGGTTGAGATGTTCATCTTTGAACATGTTTTCCCTGCCATACTCACAATTCTCGTCACCATAACCATCTCTTTCTTCGTGTGATCTATCCTCCAACCCCTTGTGGCCCTTAACATCACTTTGCACTTGTACATGACTGCCCTTGTCAGTCACTGTTAGTTTGAGACCAGTGGCCATAGAGTTGGCCACCTTGATACTATCTTGAACATCATCATTTTGTTGTGATGGTTCCACCAACCCACCAGGTGCTACTGTATATTGTTTCCGATGCTCTTTGGAATTCTTACGTAGGAATCTCCTCCTTTGAGTCTTCATCATCCCCCCCCCACCCCAATAGCTACTGTTTGTTCACGATGCATGTCATAAGTGTGCCACCCACCTTGTGGCACATTGGGTAACTTGAAAGTTCTTCTCATGGGAAGAGGGTCATGTGCTACCCATTTACTTCTTTGCCCCCAAACCGGTTGAATGACCCCCTCTACTTGTCTTTGATAAGGTAGGTATCTCGGCCTACGGGATGGACCAAGTCTTTGTTGGACTTGTCGACTTGGTCTCACTTCATTAAGTGTAAGACTCCTTTTGCATTGGGAACATAACTTCTCCACCTCATTTGACACCTTAGACGCGACCGAGTTGCCCTGCGTACCCCTCGATGACTCCCCTTGCTCGAACACCACATTGGGGGTCCCTTGTTGCGGTGTTGTATCTAACACTAGCTTGAAACGGGGAAGTTCGATCTTGGCGAAGTTTGGGTTAACCATGTTGACACCAATCATGTTGGGAAACGGGTTGGTATCCACCAGTATAACATTTTTTTTTGCTCATGGAACTTGATGCGACCCTTCTCGACGGCGTCCTGCAATACATTGTAAAAAATCACACATGAGTTAGTAGAGTATGACATGCTATTATGACACTTACAATATTTCTTCCCTTTTGACTTCTCAGGGGGTGGGATGCTATGCCCCCCTGTCAACTTGATTTGACCATCCTTATAGAGTTGGTCAAAAATCAAGTCAGCTTTGTAGATATCAAAGGAATACTTCCGTAGCTGGATAGGGGCACGATTTGGTCTACCCCTTGTGGTTCATTGTCCATCTTAGCCAAAGGAGCACATACATATGGCTTTCCCGGAGTTAACTCAGCCATGTCTACCTTCACCTCATTGGCCCCTTGGCCAATATGGTTAATAGGGTAGCCGATGTTGGGGAAGTATTGACCCCTTGAGGCACTCCTCCAATTCTCCTCTTCTTGAAGAAGAGATTCATATCTCACTGCACAAGACATGAGTTGGAACAAGTCAGAGAATTCCCTATCTTGGAATTTCTTCCTTAATGAAACGGCACGTCTGGGGCTGTATTCACGATCCCCAGGGAGTTCATCTCTTATTGGTAGGATAGTGGG